TGAGTCAAACACATTTATTCAATTGCAATATAAAAAATTAAAACTAGTGGTAAGGATGAAATTTCTAACAAGTTTTTTTTGTCTTGTAATTTTGCCGTTTCCAATTTATTTTTTTAAATTGTAGAACATTGTTTTTCTTATTTGGATTTCTAAAATTTGATTCCATTTCTTTAAAAAAAACAATTGCATCAAAATTGAAACTAAATAAAAAAAATTGGAAATTTCCAATTTTGAATTAAAAAAGTATTTATCAATGTATTTTATAAAAATTAAAATTATATACTTATAATATCATTATTGTTATATATTTGTATAATTTATCTTGGATGTATTATATGTCAAGGAATATAAATAATATGAAAATTCGAATTTAGTTTTGATATAAATAATTATATTAATAATTTTGAAAATTCGACTTTCAAAAATTGAATAAATGTATTTGACTTAATTTCAAAAAAATAATTCAACTTTTAAATAAATAAACAATTTTTTTTATAAATTCCACTTGTATTTTAAATAACATGCACCAAACCCCCTTGTGTTATGAAAAACTTGCATGGAATCCCCTAAATAGTTAACGGTGTTAAATGTTAACGGAATTGGGGATTTCGTGCAAGATAAAATAAAACACAGGGGGATTCTACGCAATAAAATTAACACAATGGGATTTGGTGCATGTTTTACATAACACATGGGGGTTTTATGCAGTTTACCCCCTAATTAACAACTAATTACACACACATACAATTAATCTTCCTAATTAATTACTCTCTGCATTAGCATTTTAACCATTCATATTTGATGGAATACAATCGATTATATTTATAATATATAGTTTATTTGCTTTTATAATCGCGGTCTTACAAAAGGTACCGAAAAAGAAGAGTAAACCACGTCTGATCACTATATCGCCGTCGGCCGACGGAAAATGGCACGGGAAATGGGACTGCGACTATATGTTCTCGTTGCAAGAATTGCATTTGCATGATTTGTGTGACGATATTCAACAAGACACGCACGTTTCCCTCAACCTCTCCGTCCAGAAGGTGAAATTCGATTATACTTTTTTTTTCGTTGTTCGTTCGTCGTAATATTCATTTTTTAGAGAATTGCGTTAAAAAAACTCTTTGATTTTTTTTTTTTTCGAATTGTTAAAAATTATATATGTGGCATAGCATGCTGGACTTGGGCTGTCAGTTGAAGGAAGGATCAAAACATGCTTCACCACAAAATGCTGCAATTGCTTCTCCCCCTATTTAAGAGAGGTATATATATATGTATTACACCTACATCCCTCAAGTATGCTAAAATAACTTTAAGGTCCCTGTAGTATCGGTAATTACAAACACCAGTCTGAAACATTGTTAGAAACCCTAACGGAATAATCCATTTGATAAATTATTATGTTAGGAATCTAACAGACTATTAGTTTCAGGCAGTGATAGAGACGACATAGAGCTAGGGGATGACATTAGTATTACTCTCCTAATTAACATTTCTTAAATCCTTATTATTTTATATAAAATTTATAAATTTTTGTCTATTGTAGCATTAACGGCCCCACGGGATAGTGCATATCGGTCCCTAGAACATGAAATTTTGGCTCCAATAATTATTTCAGGGGTGTGTCTTTGATTACTAATACCACATGGACTTTAAAGTTATTTTAGCATACCTCAGGGTGTATGTGTAATTTTCCCTAAATTTTATGGTTGCTTGCAGTTTATAATTTAATTATTTTGCAATATTATTAGCTATTAACTTTTTTTTTTTTTTTGAGTAATATTAGCTATTAAGCCTGTGACTGTATGGGCGGT